GTAAGTTTATCTCGTATTTATGCTATTATTTTTTATAGATTTGAAATGTTTGCAAATAAATTATTTTATTAGTATATGTGCAATATTTCTTTTTTATTTTTCTGAGGGTTAGTTTGTATCCAACCTTTAATATTTCATGTCTTAACTTAATGTTTTATTGTTAGTGCAATAAACCAACTTTTACATAGTGGACCAAAGCTATTATTATATAAAGTGGTAACTTAAATAATTCTAAAATAGTAAGTAAAAAATAAATAAAAATTCCGCTTAAAAACTAACTAAATATCGTAACTTTCTTTTGAAAATTTTCATTTGCATGTCTTTCAAATTACAATTCAAAATTTTTTCGTAAATAAAATTGAATATAAAAAACATGCTTCAATACGTGTTCACATTACAATTCTATGCTTCAATACGTGTTAACATTACAAAATAAAAAAAAATTCTGTTTTTTTATTTTATTAACATGTAGACAAAAATCTCAATAATATCTACAACATGATTAACTTTCAAATTTTTTCGGTTCTCTACAACATGATTAGCTTTGAAATTTTTTCGGTTTGCTGGTATGCTTCAATTCTAATTAAAATTATAATTGAAGTGCAGTTATATTCATCTATATATATTGAAAAAGAGAGGTCAATAAATCAAATGAGGAAAGCTTAAAAAAAATCACAGTCAACCAAATTGACTTACTGAATATGGCAATCTTTTCAAAACTGTGTAATTTCAAATTCTCATTCCTTATACTTCGGTTGAATGAAATTGTTATTCTTTATATTTAGCAATCTTTTAAATTACAACCTTATCAAAATCAATTTAATATCTTATAAAAAACAATCCTTCTTTATCGTTAACAACAATAATATCTTAACAAGATCTTTTCCATGTTTTACTTGAAGATAAATGTGCAGATCAAATTCTCAACGCCGAAATTGTATGAATGTTCCAGACTTTCATCTCCAAAGATGTGGTCCACAACGCAAGGGGGCGCTCAAAATCCGAAGACTCGCTTTCTTTCGCTCCTCTAACAGCTTAGGAAAAAGCAAGGACAACGTAAGGGGGCGCTCAAAATCCGAAGACTCGCTTTCTTTCGCTCCTCCAACAGCTTAGGAAAAAGCAAGGACGAAGCGAAAGGGTATTTTGATACGCATGACCAGGATTTTTTCGCCAGATCTTGATATGGAGATGGAACGCGTGACCGAGCTGACGATAGATCGGCAGCCGAGGAAAAGACCGGGGTTGGGATGGGATGTTCTTCCTCAAGCCCCTGAGGTACTTTTGTCATAAGATCTTAAAATCTTGATCTTCTTCTTTTTTCTTTTTTCTTTTTTATAGTTTGTTTTGTAGATCTGATGCGAAATTATGAATATTATTGGAATGGGATGTTCTTCCTCAAGCCCCTAAGGTATTTTTTTTATAAGATCTTTTGCTTGAGGACAAGCAAAGAGTTAAGTGTGGGGGAGTTGTTTGTACTATTTTTGTTATGTTTTTCGTTATTGTTTTGTAATTCTTTTTCCCCTGTTTTAAGTCTTTTTGTTAGTTTTTAGTTAGTTTTGTATTTTATTATGTATTTTGTTCCATTTTGGTTTTCTTTGTGTTTTTCGTGTGTTTTTCCGGTTTTCTTCGTTTTTGGTTTGCAGGTCGAAAGTCTCGTGAGGAGTCGACTATAGACCGGGCAATCATGGTGGACTTATTGGCTACACATAGGAAAAACCGGAA